TGCCGAAAGCCCGTTTCGGGCCGGTGGCGACACTTCTTGTCTAAGAAGTCTCAAGTCTTCCTCAAGGATAGCAAGTTCGGCCTCTCTTTCAATTTTATCTTTCTCTTTTTGGATGGCCTCTTGCTTCCTCCATAGTTTAAGTGATTTTAGATCTTTTATTAAGTAAGAAATGCTTTTAGGAGTGCTATCACTTCCACTATAGTCGGATTGTTGAGACATATTAAACAAAAAGGTATTTTCACACAAAAATAGTTTTTAAGAAAATAATATTTTTTTGAAGTGCTAAACTTGACACTTAGAGGTCTAAGAGTACAAATTGAACTATGGAGGAAGGTGAGCTACGAAGAGCCACTTAATAATGAAGCCTCTTCAAGTAAAAATCTCTAAATTCCCTTGTACTTTGCCTTGCAAAAAAAATGTTTTCACAAATTTCTTTTTCCAAGAGGAAAATAACAAGCAAGTGCCTAATGTGTATAATTAAGCAATGCAATCAAGACTTGAAAACATAAATTGCTTGGAAACATAAATTGCATGAAAACATAAATTTCTTAAAACTTAAATTGCTTAAAAACATAAATTGCATGAAAACTTAAAGACAAGAAAACATAAACTAGGCGTATGAAGCTATAAACCTAGGTGAGAGCTTGGAAAGTACCAAAGACTTCCAAGGACCACTCTCACATGTACTACATGAATTACCCTAATATGAAAACACTAAGGAGAGATGAAAATGCACCAAAAGCACTCCAAGACACTCCTAAAGGCCTTGTACAACAAATGAAATGAAAATTTACAAGAAATGAAATGTAAATTTACACCAAATGAAATGTAAATTTACACCAAATGAAATGTAAATTCACACTAAATGAAATGTAAATTCACACTAAATGAAATGTAGTGGCTGCACCAAATTCTTAGAAAACAAAATTCAGCAACTAAATTAGTGACAAATTTAGAGACGTATTTAGCTAGGAAAAATTTTGAGACAAAAAATTTCCGTCTCTAAACTAGTCTCTAGTTTTCACAAAATTGGATTACTCCTTCAAGTCCCAAGTCAGCCACCACTCCTTGCAGTCCTCACAAGTGTATCACTCCTCTATTAGAAGTAACCTTGATGTTGGTTACTCCTAGGTGTTTAATCTCCCAAAGCCTTCCTCCAATGGAGAACAAGCTTCCTAGGCCACCACAAAACCTTCCAAATTTGGCTTCCTTTATTGCTTGGCCTTCCACACCTTCAAGAAGCACTCAACACACCTTAAGTTGCTGGAATATATGGTAAAACCTGAAAAGGAACAATTAGGAGAAGCTACACCAATTGGTGGAAATTAGTGAGACAAAACTAGGAAGAATTCTAAATAAAGACAAGCAAAAATTAGGGCACCAAAGAACGGCTAGCACACAAAGGGAAACCTATCAATGGCACTAGAGTAGATTACAAAATAAAATCTAAGATTATAAAATGAAAAACTCAAAGTAAACAACAATGTAGTGGCTGGTCAGAAAATTTAAGGCAAACAACACACAAATCCAAGAGCAACAACTTCACTAATTTTCACTCCTTTTGGCTTTTTCTTTGTTCTTTCTTTTGTTTTTCTTTTGATGTTTTCTTTCAAATCTTTTGCTTGTAATCTCAGGAGTTCAATGCCTTTTTAATGCAAGTATATGTCTCGATTTTAATTTCTTAAAACTGCTGCCAAAGTTATCACAAAACAAGAGGTATAATAGGAAATTGTTTTTCTAGTGCTTCACAATTTTTGTACAATTTTTTAGGTCAATTTTCAAGCACTCTTTTCTTTTGTTTTTCCAATGTTTTTATAACACTAATACCTCTATTTTGCCTCTATTTTTATGCTTTAAAAGGTGATACAAGTTTCAGCCACAAAACAAAACTCAAGGAAACCTAATAGGAATAGTGTCTAATAATTTTCTTTTGACAAACTTTTAACAAGACATAAAGGAAACCTAACTCTAGGAAATTTGCTAGAACTAATAGCAAATTAAGAACTCAATCATGTAAAGTAAAAGCACATATAGGTTGGCACAAGATTAACAAATCAAATCGCACCAAATATTGACACAAAAACCAAAGGTTCAACAAGCTAGTCTAGGATTCAATGACATGTAAAGGACTACACATGACTCTAGACAAAACATATGATTCAAAAACAAAATTCATGCTAAACAATATCAATGTACAATCACAGACTCAAGTTATAGGAATAGAGAAGACTCAAACAAAAAAAAAAAGCACAAGCACAAAGAAACCTAGGTTAGAACCGGATTGATTCAAGAACAAAGGAACAAACAAAACCAATGAATCAATCAACTTATGAGACATTTGGATCCATCAATAATATGTAGAAAATCTAGATCCATTCAGCAAACACAAGAAGACATGTAAAAGAATGAAGATACAACACGGATTTAATGAAAGGAAAAAAGACACATAACCTTAAGAGCACCAAGGCTCTAGATACCAAAAATGATGGAAGTAAGTAGAAGTGGTTGATGTTCTTCTTCACTCTCCACCTTCAATCCCTTTCTTCTCTTGAGGTTGACACGCTAATGAAGAGAGAAACACTTTGAAGAAGCTTCAATGGTGGAGAAGCAACAAGGAGGTTCGGTAGCTTCTTCAAGAAGCTAGAAGATTACCAAGGCACAAAGGTTGGAAACCTTTGTGAAGGAACCTAGGGGAGAAAGTTATCCACTAAATTCTAAGGTTTTGGAAGAGATAATTTGAGAGAAATTATGATTATTATTCACCCAAAGTGAGGGAAAAGGTTAGAGTTATAAATATATAAAAGGAGGTAGCAACCTTAACCATGGTTCAAGTGAACCATGGTTTGGTTGCTTGACCGTCCAAGCTAGTTAGGAGGTTTGTGGAGCAAGCTTCTCACTTAGATTGCTTGGGAAGCAAGTTAAGGAGAAGCTTGTAGCACAAGCTTCCCAAGCTTGAAGGCAAAGAAAAGCAATTCAGCCATGTGAGGAACCAAGGCAAGCTAGGCGGCCATTTGACTATTTTACTCACTAATCCGTTTCCAAAAATGTTTGATTTGGTTTAGTCAGGTCCATCCAAAAATGATGAGACCTAACTAAATCAAATCCATGAAAAATTAGGAGCAAAATGAGTCTACCACAAGACAGAAATGGTGTCCGGCTCTCTGCTGTGCAAGGATATATGACAAATTTTTACAGGTTACTGCCTATGCTATCAACATATATCTCATCCCAGATAGAATGTCATCTGAACTCATGTTTGAAACATGATCAGGAAATATGGATCATATGTAGCTAGACATCCAATTATGGTGTTGCTTTCATCTTTGGCTGTAGTTCTTCTCCTCTGTCTAGGTCTAATTCGATTCAAGGTGGAGACACGACCTGAGAAGGTAAATATCACAATTGTTTCAACTTTGCTGTTTCAGTTGCTATAGATTGGTTAATTTTCTTAAATGGATGGCATTTTTTTGTTTCTGGACATAATTTAAAAATGAAGTTTGCTTTTGTTTTGATCATCCAACTGTGCTTGATTTGATACACATTATTTTATGGAAGAAAATAAAGTTGGCAACATGATAATTGTGTTAATACTTAATAGGGGAAAATTGTCCACTGTATCAAGAATAAGAAATCTAATGAACAATAGAAATCTTGGATTCAAATGACTCGCTTTACTTCACTTCACTTCTCACTTGCATAAAATTCATCCCCTTGGTAATTTGCCATTTACTGATTTGTATAATGTTCTTACCTTTGAAACCCTTTTCAGTAATGTTATTGTTTGAGATCTCTCAAAACTGAATGCCATCATGTCTAATTTTAGACTGTTTTTTGTTAGATCTGATTCTAAATAGCTCATTTAATATCATTGCAAAATGTTATTTTTGTTAATTTATGTTAAAAAAATGTGGCTTTTTTGGGACATTGCAGGTGCTGGATTTGGATCCAAGAGCAAGTATATGTTTGGGAAAGTGACCATCCAGCTCAAGCTTGTGGAGGGTGACTCTGCTGGAACTGTTACTGCTTTCTATGTAAGTGAAAAATTAATCTTTTTTTTTTTAAGTAGAAATTATTTTCAAGTGCAGACAACTCTTTGAATTGACTTATACCAGAGGCATTAGTGACAGCTACCTACTTCATTTCAACCCGTGAATTTGCACATCCAATTGATTCTTGCATTTATTGTCTCTGTATATCTGTCTCCATATTTTGAGCCACGAACCTATTTTTTAACTATAGCTTTATACCTTACTATCATTCTATCCTCTTGCAAATTCTCATAATATCTTTTAAATAAATATTAAATCTAACGGTGGGCATATTTAAAAATAAGAAGCATTATAAAGAGAGGATTTAGAATTATTTAAGATTCATATTTTAAACTACAATGAGATCCTTCATTTTGACATTGATCAACCTAACAATCCTGTGCAATTTATTCCACTTTGTGTTACAGTAATTATCTACTGTTAACAATAATCAAATGTCATGAGTTTTCTCTTTTCATATACCTTGGTATTTTTGCTTTTTACTGTAATGGGCTTTTATATTTTTTACTGTGAGATTTTTTCTCTATTTTACAAGCTGATGTGGCTGGGTAGAAGATTCTAGATTGCATGGGCAGGGTGTAATACCCGTGCATATTATTAGATGTGCTGCCAAGTGGAATGAAGGAAAATGATTCACTTTTGAAAAATTATTCTCTCTCTTCTAACTAATTCTCTGCTACGCAATACGGGTTCTTTGCACCGAGCTCTATTCCTTCATTGGGGCTCCTGTTTAGAACTAAGGATTTTTACCGGTTCTCCCTAAAAATCCAAATCCTGTCACACTTTGTATTGACCTATATTTATGACCTTGACAAGGGATGGTGACCCTAGTCCAATGATGGTATATTAAATGACTAAGACGTTGATGTTCATTTTCAATTTGTGTGATGCAGATGTCATCAGACGGCCCAAGTCACAACGAGTTTGATTTTGAGTTCCTGGGCAACACCACTGGTGAACCTTACTCGGTCCAAACGAACGTGTACGTGAATGGAGTAGGTAACAGGGAGCAGAGACTCAACCTCTGGTTCGACCCCACCAAGGACTTCCACACCTATTCCATCTTTTGGAACCAGCGCCAAGTTGTGTGACTTCCACACATATTCTACATCGGTTGTTGGAATAACCGATGTAGAATAGTGGTAAAATCTACATCGGTTTTACTTATAACCGATGTAAATTTGTACGCAAATCTACATCGGTTTTCTAACAACCGATGTAGAAGTGTTTGTTTTACTAAGTCGCTCTATTCTACATCGGTTTTATAACCGATGTAGATTACCTTCTAGAACCGATGTAGATAATACATCCTGTAGTAGTCAGTGGGTATAGAGTTTAAGGTGCGAAAATTAATTAAAAACATAAACACTAACCCTCGTGACTATTTCAACAGTTTTCATTTCGGTAGAAACAGGTTATGGTGCGTTATTTGAGTGCTTCACTTTGATAGTAGAAAGATTGAAGGAGAATGAGGATTGTGGAGTATGTTTCTTTTGAACGATTCAGATGAGGCAGATTCATGAGGTGACTGTATAAATGGTTGAGATCAAAGTACATACATGGAATCCTAGCCTTTCCTTTTTTCAAATATAGACACGTCACACACCTCCATGTTTGCTCAACTCTCTCCATTATTTAAACCAAACCTCATGCCCGGTGGTTGCAGGGGAAGTGAATTGAGAAAAATTAAGAGAAATGGCTTTGTTTTCAGTTTTGTTGAATTTTATTGTTCTTTTTCTGCTTCTCATATCTTTCACCAAACAAACTTTAGGTGTATCATTATTGGCAGAGCAAGAAGCAGATAGAGTCTATGAATTACTGAGGCAACCTAATGTGATGTTTAAACAATATGTCGGTTAAATCACTATCAATAAAACTTTATCTGCATGTTATTTTACCGGGGCAATATTTATTGGTTTTATGAGTGGCTTCAAAAAACCAATAAAACAATTGTGTTCTTCCATGAGTTTTATTGACAATGATGTAATTGGCATATTGTTTAAACATCACATCAAGTTGCCCCAGTAATTCATAGACTCTATCTGCTTCTTGCTTTGCCAATAATGATACACCTAAAGTTTGTTTGGTAAAAGATATGAGAAGCAGAAAAAGAATAAAATTCAACAAAACTGAAAACAAAGCCATTTCTCTTAGGGATGGCAAAACGGGCCAGCCTGGCCCGCCATTGGCCCGCCAAAAACGGGCCGGGCCGGCCCGGCCCG